GCGCGGTGGGCTGAACGCGCGGTGGGCTGAACGCGCGGTGGGCTGAACGCCCGGTGGGCTGAACGCGCGGTGGGCTGAACGCGCGGTGGGCTGAACGCGCGGTGGGCTGAAGACGCGGTGGGCTGAAGACGCGGTGGGCTGAAGACGCGGTGGGCTGAAGACGCGGTGGGCTGAAGACGCGGTGGGCTGAAGACGCGGTGGGCTGAAGACGCGGTGGGCTGAAGACGCGGTGGGCTGAGGACGCCGTGGGCTGAAGACGCGGTGGGCTGAAGACGCGGTGGGTTGAACGCGCGGTGGGTTGAACGCGCGGAGGGTTGAACGCGCGGTGGGTTGAACGCGCGGTGGGTTGAACACGCGGTGGGGTGAACACGCGGTGGGCTTCACACGCGGTGGGCTTCACACGCGGTGGGCTGAACACGCGGTGGGTTGATCACGCAGTGGGTTGATCACGCGGTGGGTTGAACACGCGGTGGGTTGAACACGCGGAGGAATGAACACGCGGAGGGTTGAACACGCGGAGGGTTGAACACGCGGAGGGTTGAACACGCGGAGGGTTGAACACGCGGTGGGCTGAACACGCGGTGGGCTGAACACGCGGTGGGCTGAACACGCGGTGGGTTGAACACGCGGTGGGTTGAACACGCGGTGGGCTGAGCACGCGGTGGGCTGAGCACGCGGTGGGCTGAGCACGCGGTGGGTGGAGCACGCGGGTTGAGGACGCGGTGGGTTGAGCACGCGGTGGGTTGAGCACGCGGTGGGTTGAGCACGCGGTGGGTTGAGCACGCGGTGGGTTGAGCACGCGGTGGGTTGAACACGCGGTGGGTTGAGCACGGGGTGGGTTGAACACGCGGTGGGTTGAGCACGGGGTGGGTTGAACACGCGGTGGGTTGAACACGCGGTGGGTTGAACACGCGGTGGGTTGAACACGCGGTGGGTTGAACACGCGGACGGTTGAACACGCGGACGGTTGAACACGCGGTCGGTTGAACACGCGGTGGGGCCGTGGGTTGAACACGCGGTGGGTTGAACACGCGGTGGGTTGAACACGCGGTGGGTTGAACACGCGGTGGGTTGAACACGCGGACGGTTGAACACGCGGACGGTTGAACACGCGGTCGGTTGAACACGCCGTGGGCTGAACACGCGGTGGGTTGAACACGCGGTGGGCTGAACACGCGGTGGGCTGAACACGCGGTGGGCTGAACACGCGGTGGGCTGAACACGCGGTGGGCTGAACACGCGGTGGGTTGAACACGCGGTGGGCTGAACACGCGGTGGGCTGAACACGCGGTGGGCTGAACACGCGGTGGGCAGAACACGCGGTGGGCTGAACACGCGGTGGGTTGAACACGCGGTGGGTTGAACACGCGGTGGGTTGAACACGCGGTGGGTTGAACACGCAGTGGGTTTAACACGTGGTGGGCTCAACACGTGGTGGGTTGAACACGCAGTGGTTTGAGCACGCGGTGGGTTGAACACGAGGTGGATTGAACACGAGGTGGGTTGAACACGCACTGGGTTGAACACGCGGTGGGTTGAACACGCGGTGGGTTGAACACGCGGACGGTGGAACACGCGGAGGGTTGAACATACGGAGGGTTGAACACACGGTGGGTTGAACACACGGTGGGTTGAACACACGGTGGGTGGAACACACGGTGGGTAGATCACACGGTGGGTTGAACACACGGTGGGTGGAACACACGGTGGGTTGAACACACAGTGGGTTGAACACACAGTGGGTTGAACACAAGGTGGGCTGAACAAGACACGGTGGTTTGAACAAACGGTGGGTTAAACACACGGTGGGTTGAACACGCGGAGGGTTGAACACGCGGTGGGTTGAACACGCTATGGGTTGAACACGCGGTGGGTTGAACACGCGGCGGGTTGAACACGCGGAGGGTTGAACACACGGTGGGTTGAACACGCGGTGGGTTGAACACGCGGTGGGTTGAACATGCGGACGGTTGAACACGTGGACGGTTGAACACACGGAGGGTTGTACACACGGTGGGTTGAACACACGGTGGGTTGAACACACGGTGGGTGGAACACACGGTGGGTTGAACACACGGTGGGTGGAACACAAGGTGGGTGGATCACACGGTGGGCTGAACACACAGTGGGTGGAACACACGGTGGGTTGAACTCGCGGTGGGTTGAACACGTGGTGGGTTGAACACGCGGTGGGTTGAGCACGCGGTGGGTTGAACACACGGTGGGTTGAACATGAGGTGGGTTGAACACGCGGTGGATTGAACATGAGGTGGGTTGATCACGCGGTGGGTTGAACATGAGGTGGGTTGAACACGCGGTGGATTGAACACGCGGTGGGTTGAACACGTGGTGGGTTGATCACGCGGTGGGTTGAACATGAGGTGGGTTGAACACACGGTGGATTGAACACGCGGTGGGTTGAACACGCGGAGGGTTGAACATGCGGTGGGTTGAACACGCGGTGGGTTGAACACGCGGTGGGTTGAACACGCGGTGGGTTGAACACGCGGTGGGTTGAACACGCGGTGGGTTGAACACGCGGTGGATTGAACATGAGGTGGGTTGATCACGCGGTGGGTTGAACATGAGGTGGGTTGAACACGTGGTGGGTTGAACTCGCGGTGGGTTGAACACGTGGTGGGTTGATCACGCGGTGGGTTGAACATGAGGTGGGTTGAACACGCGGTGGATTGAACACGCGGTGGGTTGAACACGCGGAGGGTTGAACACACGGTGGGTTGAACACGCGGTGGGTTGAACACGCGGTGGGTTGAACACGCGGTGGGTTGAACACGCGGAGGGTTGAACACACGGAGGGTTGAACACAGTGGATTGATCACGCGGTGGGTTCAACACGCGGTGGGTTGAACACGCGGTGGGTTGAGCACACGGTGGGTTGAACACGCGGTGGGTTGAACACGAGGTGGGTTGAACACGTATGGGTTGAACACGTGGGTTGAACACACGGTGGGTTGAACACGCGGACGGTTGAACACGTGGAGGGTTGACAACGCGGAGGGTTGAACACACGGTGGGTTGAACACACGGTGGGTTGAACACACGGTGGGTGGAACACACGGTGGGTGGATCGCACGGTGGGTTGAACACACGGTGGGTGGAACACATGGTGGGTTGAACACATGGTGGGTTGAACACACAGTGGGTTGAACACAAGGTTGGTTGAACAACTCACGGTGGTTTGAACACACGGTGGGTTAAACACACGGTGGGTTGAATATGCGGTGGGTTGAACACATGGTGGGTTGATCACACGGTGGGTGGATCGCACGGTGGGTTGAACAAACGGTGGGTTGATCACACGGTGGGTTGAACACACAGTGGGTTGAACACAAGGTGGGTTGAACAACACACGGTGGTTTGAACACACGGTGGGTTAAACACACGGTGGGTTGAACACGCGGTGGGTTGAACACGCGGTGGGTTGAACACGCGATTGGTTGAACACGCGGTGGGTTGAACACGCGGTGGGTTGAACACGCGGTGGGTTGAACACGCGGTGGGTTGAACACGCGGTGGGTTGAACACGCAGTGGGTTGAACACGCGGTGGGTTCAACACGTGGTGGGTTGAACACGCGGTGGGTTGAGCACGCGGTGGGTTGAACACGCGGTGGGTTGAACACGAGGTGGGTTGAACACGCACTGGGTTGAACACGCGGTGGGTTGAACACGGGGTGGGTTGAACACGCGGACGGTTGAACACGCGGAGGGTTGAACACACGGTGGGTTGAACACACGGTGGGTTGAACACACGGTGGGTTGAACACAAGGTGGGTTGAACAACACACGGTGGTTTGAACACACGGTGGGTTAATCACACGATGGTTTGAACACGCGGTGGGTTGAACACGCGGTGGGTTGAACACGCAGTGGGTTGAATACGCGGTGGGTTCAACACGCGGTGGGTTGAACACGCCGTGGGTTGAACACGCGGTGGGTTCAACACGCAGTGGGTTGAACACGCGGCGGGTTGAACACGCGGTGGGTTGAACACGCGGTGGGTTGAAAACGCGGTGGGTTGAACACGCGGTGTGTTGAACACGCGGTGGGTTGAACATGAGGTGGGTTGAACACGCGGTGGGTTGAACACGCGGTGGGTTGAACATGAGGTGGGTTGAACACGCGGTGGGTTGAACACACGGTGGGCTGAACAGACGGTGGGTTGAACACATGGTGGGTTGAACACACGGTGGGTATGAACACACGGTGGGTTGAAAACTGGGTGGGTTGAACACACGGTGGGTTGAACACACAGTGGGCTGAACACACGGTGGGCTGAACACACGATGGGTGGGTTGAACACACGGTGGGTGGAACACACGGTGGGTTGAACATGCGGTGGGTTGAACACGCGGTGGGTTGAACACGCGGTGGGTTGAACACTCGGTGGGTTGAACACGCGGTGGGTTGAACACGCGGTGGGTTGAACACGCGCTGTGTTGAACACGCGGTGGGTTGAACACGCGGTGGGTTGAACACGCGGTGGGTCGAACACGCGGTGGGTCGAACACGCGGTGGGTCGAACACGCGGTGGGTCGAACACGCGGTGGGTCGAACACGCGGTGGGTCGAACACGCGGTGGGTCGAACACGCGGTGGGTCGAACACGCGGTGGGTCGAACACGCGGTGGGTCGAACACGCGGTGGGTCGAACTCGAACACGCGGTGGGTCGAACTCGAACACGCGGTGGGTCGAACACGCGGTGGGTTGAACACGCGGTGGGTTGAACACGCGGTGGGTTGAACACGCGGTGCGTTGAACACACGGTGGGTTGAACACGCAGTGGGTGGAACACACGGTGGGTTGAACACCCGGTGGGTTGAACACACGGTGGGTTGAACACGCGGTGGGTTGAACACGCGGTGGGTTGAACACGCGGTGGGTTGAACACGGTGGGTTGAACACGCGGTGGGTTGAACACGCGGTGGGTTGAACACGCGGTGGGTTGAACACGCGGTGGGTTGAACACGCGGTGGGTTGATTACGCGGTGGGTTGAACACGCGGTGGGTTGAACACGCGGTGGGTTGAAGACGCGGTGGGTTGAACACGCGGTGGGTTGAACACGCGGTGGGTTGAACATGCGGTGGGTTGAACATGCGGTGGGTTGAACATGCGGTGGGTTGAACACACGGTGGGTGGATCACACGGTGGGTTGAACACACGGTGGGTTGAACACACGGTAGGTTGAACACACGGTGGGTTGAACACACGGTGGGTTGAACACGCGGCGGGTTGAACACGCGGTGGGTTGAACACGCGGTGGGTTGAAAACGCGGTGGGTTGAACACGCGGTGTGTTGAACACGCGGTGGGTTGAACATGAGGTGGGTTGAACACGCGGTGGGTTGAACACGCGGTGGGTTGAACATGAGGTGGGTTGAACACGCGGTGGGTTGAACACGCGGTGGGTTGAACACACGGTGGGCTGAACAGACGGTGGGTTGAACACATGGTGGGTTGAACACACGGTGGGTATGAACACACAGTGGGCTGAACACACGGTGGGCTGAACACACGATGGGTGGGTTGAACACACGGTGGGTGGAACACACGGTGGGTTGAACATGCGGTGGGTTGAACACGCGGTGGGTTGAACACGCAGTGGGTTGAACACGCGGTGGGTTGAACATGCGGTGGGTTGAACACGCGGTGGGTTGAACACGCGGTGGGTTGAACACGCGATGTGTTGAACACGCGATGTGTTGAACACGCGGTGGGTTGAACACGCGTTGGGTTGAACACGCGGTGGGTCGAACACGCGGTGGGTTGAACACGCGGTGGGTCGAACACGCGGTGGGTCGAACACGCGGTGGGTCGAACACGCGGTGGGTCGAACACGCGGTGGGTCGAACACGCGGTGGGTCGAACACGCGGTGGGTCGAACACGCGGTGGGTCGAACACGCGGTGGGTCGAACTCGAACACGCGGTGGGTCGAACTCGAACACGCGGTGGGTCGAACACGCGGTGGGTTGAACACGCGGTGTGGTTGAACACGCGGTGGGTTGAACACGCGGTGCGTTGAACACACGGTGGGTTGAACACGCAGTGGGTGGAACACACGGTGGGTTGAACACCCGGTGGGTTGAACACACGGTGGGTTGAACACGCGGTGGGTTGAACACGCGGTGGGTTGAACACGCGGTGGGTTGAACACGGTGGGTTGAACACGCGGTGGGTTGAACACGCGGTGGGTTGAACACGCGGTGGGTTGAACACGCGGTGGGTTGAACACGCGGTGGGTTGATTACGCGGTGGGTTGAACACGCGGTGGGTTGAACACGCGGTGGGTTGAAGACGCGGTGGGTTGAACACGCGGTGGGTTGAACACGCGGTGGGTTGAACATGCGGTGGGTTGAACATGCGGTGGGTTGAACATGCGGTGGGTTGAACACACGGTGGGTGGATCACACGGTGGGTTGAACACACGGTGGGTTGAACACACGGTAGGTTGAACACACGGTGGGTTGAACACACGGTGGGTTGAACACGCGGCGGGTTGAACACGCGGTGGGTTGAACACGCGGTGGGTTGAAAACGCGGTGGGTTGAACACGCGGTGTGTTGAACACGCGGTGGGTTGAACATGAGGTGGGTTGAACACGCGGTGGGTTGAACACGCGGTGGGTTGAACATGAGGTGGGTTGAACACGCGGTGGGTTGAACACGCGGTGGGTTGAACACACGGTGGGCTGAACAGACGGTGGGTTGAACACATGGTGGGTTGAACACACGGTGGGTATGAACACACAGTGGGCTGAACACACGGTGGGCTGAACACACGATGGGTGGGTTGAACACACGGTGGGTGGAACACACGGTGGGTTGAACATGCGGTGGGTTGAACACGCGGTGGGTTGAACACGCAGTGGGTTGAACACGCGGTGGGTTGAACATGCGGTGGGTTGAACACGCGGTGGGTTGAACACGCGGTGGGTTGAACACGCGATGTGTTGAACACGCGATGTGTTGAACACGCGGTGGGTTGAACACGCGTTGGGTTGAACACGCGGTGGGTCGAACACGCGGTGGGTTGAACACGCGGTGGGTCGAACACGCGGTGGGTCGAACACGCGGTGGGTCGAACACGCGGTGGGTCGAACACGCGGTGGGTCGAACACGCGGTGGGTCGAACACGCGGTGGGTCGAACACGCGGTGGGTCGAACACGCGGTGGGTCGAACACGCGGTGGGTCGAACACGCGGTGGGTCGAACACGCGGTGGGTCGAACACGCGGTGGGTTGAAAACGCGGTGGGTTGAACACACGGTGGGTTGAACACACGGTGGGTTGAACACGCGGTGGGTTGAACACGCGGTGGGTTGAACACGGTGGGTTGAACACGCGGTGGGTTGAACACGCGGTGGGTTGAACAAGCGGTGGGTTGAACACGCGGTGGGTTGAACACGCGGTGGGTTGAACACGCGGTGGGATGATCACGCGGTGGGTTGAACACGCGGTGGGTTGAACACGCGGTGGGTTGAAGACGCGGTGGGTTGAACACGCGGTGGGTTGAACACGCGGTGGGTTGAACATGCGGTGGGTATAACATGCGGTGGGTTGAACACGCGGTGGGTTGAACACGCGGTGGGTTGAACATGCGGTGGGTTGAACACGCGGTGGGTTGAACACGCGGTGGGTTGAACACGCGATGTGTTGAACACGCGATGTGTTGAACACGCGGTGGGTTGAACACGCGTTGGGTCGAACACGCGGTGGGTCGAACACGCGGTGGGTCGAACACGCGGTGGGTCGAACACGCGGTGGGTCGAACACGCGGTGGGTCGAACACGCGGTGGGTCGAACACGCGGTGGGTCGAACACGCGGTGGGTCGAACACGCGGTGGGTCGAACACGCGGTGGGTCGAACACGCGGTGGGTCGAACACGCGGTGGGTCGAACACGCGGTGGGTCGGACACGCGGTGGGTCGAACACGCGGTGGGTCGAACACGCGGTGGGTTGAACACACGGTGGGTTGAAAACGCGGTGGGTTGAACACACGGTGGGTTGAACACACGGTGGGTTGAACACGCGGTGGGTTGAACACGCGGTGGGTTGAACACGGTGGGTTGAACACGCGGTGGGTTGAACACGCGGTGGGTTGAACAAGCGGTGGGTTGAACACGCGGTGGGTTGAACACGCGGTGGGTTGAACACGCGGTGGGATGATCACGCGGTGGGTTGAACACGCGGTGGGTTGAACACGCGGTGGGTTGAAGACGCGGTGGGTTGAACACGCGGTGGGTTGAACACGCGGTGGGTTGAACATGCGGTGGGTATAACATGCGGTGGGTTGAACACGCGGTGGGTTGAACACGCGGTGGGTTGAACATGCGGTGGGTTGAACACGTGGACGGTTGAACACGCGGACGGTTGAACACGCGGACGGTTGAACACACGGAGGGTTGAATACACAGTGGGTTGAACACACGGTGGGTTGAACACATGGTGGGTGAAACACACGATGGGTTGAACACACGGTGGGTGGAACACACGGTGGGTTGAACACACGGTGGATTGAACAACACACGGTGGTTTGAACACACGGTGGGTTAAACACACGGTGGGTTGAACACGAGGTGGGTTGAACACGCGGTGGGTTGAACACGCGATAGGTTGAACACGCGGTGGGTTGAACACGCGGTGGGTTGAACACGCGGTGGGTTGAACACGCGGGGGGTTGAACACGCGGACGGTTGAACACGCCGAGGGTTGAACACACGAAGGGTTGAACACATGGCGGGTTAAACACACGGTGGGTTGAACACACGGTGGGTGGAACACACGGTGGGTGGATCACACGGTGGGTTGAACACACGGTGGGTGGAACACACGGTGGGTTGAACACACGGTGGGTTGAACACACAGTCGGTTGAACACAAGGTGGGTTGAACAACACACGGTGGTTTGAACACACGGTGGGTTAAACACACGATGGTTTGAACACGCGGTGGGTTGAACACGCGGTGGGTTGAACACGCAGTGGGTTGAACACGCGGCGGGTTGAACACGCGGTGGGTTGAACAGGCTTTGGGTTGAAAACGCGGTTGGTTGAACACGCGGTGTGTTGAAGACGCGGTGGGTTGAACATGCGGTGGGTTGAACACGCGGTGGGTTGAACATGAGGTGGGTTGAACAAGCGGTGGGTTGAACACGCGGTGGGTTGAACACGCGGTTGGTTGAACACGCGGTGGGTTGAACACGCGGTGTGTTGAACACACGGCGGGTTGAACACACGGCGGGTTGAACACAGGGTGTGTTGAACACACGGTGGGTTGTACATATGGTGGGTTGAACACACTGTGGGTTGCACACACGGTGGGTTGCACACACGGTGGGTTGAACACGCGGTGGCTTGCACACACGGTGGGTTGCACACACGGTGGGTTTAACACACAGTGGGTTGAACACACGGTGGGTTGAACACACGGTGGGTTGAACACCCGGTGGGCTGAACAGACGGTGGGTTGAACACATGGTGGGTTGAACACATGGTGGGTATGAACACACGGTGGGTTGAAAACTGGGTGGGTTGAACACACGGTGGGTTGAACACACAGTGGGCTGAACACACGGTGGGCTGAACACACGATGGGTGGGTTGAACACACGGTGGGTGGAACACACGGTGGGTTGAACATGCGGTGGGTTGAACACGCGGTGGGTTGAACACGCGGTGGGTTGAACACGCGGTGGGTTGAACACGCGGAGGGTTGAACACGCAGTGGGTTGAACACGCGGTGGGTTGAACACGCGGATGGTTGAACACGCGGGGGGTTGAACACGCGGACGGTTGAACACGCGGAGGGTTGAACACACGCGGTGGGTTGAACACGCGGTGGGTTGAAAACGCGGACGGTTGAACACGCGGATGGTTGAACACACGGAGGGTTGAACACACGGTGGGTTGAACACACGGTGGGTTGAACACACGGTGGGTTGAACACACGGTGGGTGGAACACACGGTGGGTTCAACACAAGGTGGGTGGAACACGCGGTGGGTCGAACACGCGGTGGGTGGAACACGCGGTGGGTTGAACACACGGTGGCTTGAACACCCGGTGGGTTGAACACGCGGTGGGTTGAACACGCGGTGGGTTGAACACGCGGTGGGTGGAACACGCGGTGGGTTGAACACGCAGTGGGTTGAACATTCGGTGGGTTGAAGTGGCGGTGGGTTGAACACGCGGTGGGTTGAACACGCGGTGGGTTGAACACGCGGAGGGTTGAACACGCGGTGGGTTGAACACGCGGTGGGTTGAACACGCGGTGGGTTGAACACGAGGTGGGTTGAACACGCGGTGGGTTGAACATGCGGTGGGTTCAACACACGGTGGGTTGAGCACGCGGTGGGTTGAGCACGCGGTGGGTTGAACACACGGTGGGTTGAACACGCGGTGGGTTGAACACGCGGTGGGTTTAACACGCGGTGGGTTGAACACGCGGACGGCTGAACACGCGGAGGGTTGAACACACGGAGGGTTGAACACGCGGTGGGTTGGACACGCGGTGGGTTGAACACGCGGTGGGTTGAACACGCGGTTGGTTGAACACGCGGTGGGTTGAACATGCGGCGGGTTGAACACACGGCGGGTTGAACACAGGGTGTGTTGAACACACGGTGGGTTGTACACACAGTGGGTTGAACACACTGTGGGTTGCACACACGGTGGGTTGCACACACGGTGGGTTGAACACGCGGTGGCTTGCACACGTGGTGGGTTGCACACACGGTGGGTTTAACACACAGTGGGTTGAACACACGGTGGGTTGAACACACGGTGGGTTGAACACCCGGTGGGCTGAACAGACGGTGGGTTGAACGCATGGTGGGTTGAACACATGGTGGGTATGAACACATGGTGGGTTGAAAACTGGGTGGGTTGAACACACGGTGGGTTGAACACACAGTGGGCTGAACACACGGTGGGCTGAACACACGATGGGTGGGTTGAACACACGGTGGGTGGAACACACGGTGGGTTGAACACGCGGTGGGTTGAACACGCGGTGGGTTGAACACGCGGTGGGTTGAACACGCGGTGGGTTGAACACGCGGTGGGTTGAACACGCGGTGGGTTGAAAACGCGGTGGGTTGAACACGCGGTGGGTTGAACACGCGGTGGGTTGAACATTCGCTGGGTTGAACACGCGGTGGGTTGAACACGCGATGGGTTGAACACGCGGTGGGTTGAACACGCGGTGGGTTGAACACGCGGTGGGTTGAACACGCGGTGGGTTGAACACGCGGACGGTCGAACACGCGGAGGGTTGAACACGCGGAGGGTTGAACACACGGAGGGTTGAACACCTGGTGGGTTGAACATACGGTGGGTTGAACACACGGTGGGTTGAACACACGGTGTGTTGAACACACGGTGGGTTGAACACACGGTGGGTTGAACACACGGTGGGTTGAACACGCGGTGGGTGGAACACACGGTCACGGTGGGTTGAACACGCGGTGGGTTGAACACGCGGTGGGTTGAACACGGTGGGTTGAACACGCGGTGGGTTGAACACGCGGTGGGTTGAACACGCGGTGGGTTGAACACGCGGTGGGTTGAACACGCGGTGGGTTGAACACGCGGTGGGTTAAACACGCGGTGGGATGATCACGCGGTGGGTTGAACACGCGGTGGGTTGAACACGCGGTGGGTTGAACACACGGAGGGTTGAACACACGGTGGGTTGAACACACTGTGGGTTGAACACACGGTGGGTTGAATACACGGTGGGTGGAACACGTGGTGGGTGGAACACGCGGTGGGTTGAACACGCGGTGGGTGGAACACGCGGTGGGTTGAACGCGCGGTGGGTTGAACACGCGGTGGGTTGAACACGCGGTGGGTTGAACACGCGGTGGGTTGAACAGGCTGTGGGTTGAACACGCGGTGGGTTGAACACGCGGTGGGTTGAACACGCGGTGGGCTGAACACGCTGTGGGTTGAACACGCGGTGGGTTGAACACGCGGTGGGTTGAACACGCGGTGGGCTGAACACGCTGTGTGTTTAACACGCGGTGGGTTGAACACGCGGTGGGTTGAACACGCGGTGGGTTGAACACGCGGTGGGCTGAACACGCGGTGGGTTGAACACGCGGTGGGTTACACACGCGGACGGTTGAACAGGCGGACGGTTGAACACGCGGACGGTTGAACACACGGTGGGTTGAACACACGGTGGGTGGAACACACGGTGGGTGGAACACGCGGTGGGTGGAACACGCGGTGGGTGGAACACGCGGGGGTGGAACACGCGGTGGGTGGAACACGCGGTGGGTGGAACACGCGGTGGGTGGAACACGCGGTGGGTGGAACACGCGGTGGGTTGAACACGCGGAGGGTTGAACACGCGGAGGGTTGAACACGCGGAGAGTTGAACACGCGGAGGGTTGAACACGCGGAGGGTTGAACACGCGGTGGGTGGAACACACGATGGGTGGATCACACGGTGGGTTGAACACACGGTGGGTGGAACACACGGTGGGTTGAACAAACACACGTTGGGTTGAACACACAGTGGGTTGAACACGTGGTGGGTTGAACACGCGGTGGGTTGAACACGCGGTGGGTTGAACACGCGGTGGGTGGATCACGCGGTGGTTTGAACACGCGGTGGTTTGAACACGCGGTGGGTTGAACACGCGGTGGTTTGAACACGCGGTGGGTTGAACACGCGGTGGGTTGAACACGCGGTGGGTTGAACACGCGGTGGGTTTTACACGCGGTGGGTTGAACTCGCGGTGGGTTGAACTCGCGGTGGGTTGAACACGCGGTGGGTTGAACACGCGGTGGGTTGAACACGCGGTGGGTTGAACACGCGGTGGGTTGAACACGCGGTGGGTTGAACACGCGGACGGTTGAACACGCGGTGGGTTGAACACGCGGTGGGTTGAACACGCGGTGGGTTGAACACGCGGTGGGTTGAACACGCGGTGGGTTGAACACGCGGTGGGTTGAACACGCGGTGGGTTGAACACGTGGTGGGTTGAACACGCGGTGGCTTGAACACGCGGTGGGTTGAACACGCGGTGGGTTGAACACGCGGTGGGTTGAACACGCGGTGGGTTGAACACGCGGTGGGTTGAACACGCGGTGGGTTGAACACGCGGTGGGTTGAACACGCGGTGGGTTGAACACGCGGTGGGTTGAACACGCGGTGGGTTGAACACGCGGTGGGTTGAACACGCGGTGGGTTGAAAACGCGGTGGGTTGAACACGCGGTGGGTTGAACACGCGGTGGGTTGAACACGCGGTGGGTTGAACACGCGGAGGGTTGAACACGCGGAGGGTTGAACACGCGGAGGGTTGAACACACGGAGGGTTGAATACACGGTGGGTGGAACACATGATGTGTGGATCACACGGTGGGTTGAACACAGGATGTGTGGATCACACGGTGGGTTGAACACACGGTGGGTGGAACACACAGTGGGTTGAACACGCGGTGGGTTGAACACGCGGTGGGTTGAACACGCGGTGGGTTGAACACGCGGTGGGTTGAACACGCGGTGGGTTGAACACGCGGTGGGTTGAACACGCGGTGGGTTGAACACACGGTGGGTTGAACACGCGGTGGGTTGAACACGCGGTGGGTTGAACACGCGGTGGGTTGAACACGCAGAGGGTTGAACACGCGGAGGGTTGAACACACGGAGGGTTGAATACACGGTGGGTGGAACACATGATGTGTGGATCACACGGTGGGTTGAACACATGATGTGTGGATCACACGGTGGGTTGAACACACGGTGGGTGGAACACACAGTGGGTTGAACACGCGGTGGGTTGAACACGCGGTGGGTTGAACACGCGGTGGGTTGAACACGCGGTGGGTTGAACACGCGGTCGGTTGAACACGCGGTGGGTTGAACACGCGGACGGTTGAACACGCAGAGGGTTGAACAGACGGAGGGTTGAACACGCGGTGGGTTGAACACACGGTGGGTTGAACACCGGTGGGTGGAACACACGGTGGGTTGAACACGCGGTGGGTGGAACACGCGGTGGCGGTGGGTTGAACACGCGGTGGGTGGAACACGCGGTAGGTTGAACACGCGGACGGTTGAACACGCGGACGGTTGAACACACGGAGGGTTGAACACGCGGTGGGTTGAACACGCGGTGGGTTTTACACGCGGTGGGTTGAACTCGCGGTGGGTTGAACTCGCGGTGGGTTGAACACGCGGTGGTTTGAACACGCGGTGGGTTGAACACGCGGTGGGTTGAACACGCGGTGGGTTGAACACGCGGTGGGTTGAACACGCGGAGGGTTGAACACGCGGAGGGTTGAACACGCGGTGGGTTGAACACGCGGTGGGTTGAACACGCGGTGGGTTGAACACGCGGTGGGTTGAACACGCGGTGGGTTGAACACGCGGTGGGTTGAACACGCGGTGGGTTGAACACGCGGTGGGTTGAACACGCGGTGGGTTGAACACGCGGTGGGTTGAACACGCGGTGGGTTGAACACGCGGTGGGTTGAACACGCGGTGGGTTGAACACGCGGTGGGTTGAACACGCGGTGGGTTGAACACGCGGTGGGTTGAACACGCGGTGGGTTGAACACGCGGTGGGTTGAACACGCGGTGGGTTGAACACGCGGTGGGTTGAACACGCGGTGGGTTGAACACGCGGTGGGTTGAACACGCGGTGGGTTGAACACGCGGTGGGTTGAACACGCGGTGGGTTGAACACGCGGTGGTTGAACACGCGGTGGGTTGAACACGCGGTGGGTTGAACACGCGGTGGGTTGAACACGCGGTGGGTTGAACACGCGGTCGGTTGAACACGCGGTGGGTTGAACACGCGGACGGCTGAACACGCGGAGGGTTGAACACACGGAGGGTTGAACACGCGGTGGGTGGAACACACGGTGGGTTGAACACACGGAGGGTGGAACACACGGTGGGTTGAACACGCGGTGGGTGGAACACGCGGTGGAAGGTGGGTGAACACGCGGTGGGTGGAACACGCGGTGGGTTGAACACGCGGTGGGTTGAACACGCGGTGGGTTGAACACGCGGTGGGTTGAACACGCGGTGGGTTGAACACGCGGTGGGTTGAACACGCGGTGGGTTGAACACACGGTGGGTTGAACACGCGGACGGTTCAACACCCGGACGGTTGAACACGCGGTGGGTTTAACACGCGGTGGGTTGAACACGCGGTGGGTTGAACACGCGGTGGGTTGAACACGCGGTGGATTGAACACGCGGTGGGTTGAACACGCGGTGGGTTGAACACGCGGTGGGTTGAACACGCGGTGGGTTGAACACGCGGTGGGTTGAACACGCGGTGGGTTGAACACGCGGTGGGTTGAACACGCGGTGGGTTGAACACGCGGTGGGTTGAACACGCGGTGGGTTGAACACGCGGTGGGTTGAACACGCGGTGGGTTGAACACGCGGTGGGTTGAACACGCGGTGGGTTGAACACGCGGTGGGTTGAACACGCGGAGGGTTGAACACGCGGAGGGTTGAACACACGGAGGGTTGAATACACGGTGGGTGGAACACATGATGTGTGGATCACACGGTGGGTTGAACACAGGATGTGTGGATCACACGGTGGGTTGAACACACGGTGGGTGGAACACACAGTGGGTTGAACACGCGGTGGGTTGAACACGCGGTGGGTTGAACACGCGGTGGGTTGAACACGCGGTGGGTTGAACACGCGGTGGGTTGAACACGCGGTGGGTTGAACACGCGGTGGGTTGAACACGCGGTGGGTTGAACACGCGGTGGGTTGAACACGCGGTGGGTTGAACACGCGGTGGGTTGAACACGCGGAGGGTTGAACACGCGGAGGGTTGAACACACGGAGGGTTGAATACACGGTGGGTGGAACACATGATGTGTGGATCACACGGTGGGTGGAACACATGATGTGTGGATCACACGGTGGGTTGAACACACGGTGGGTGGAACACACAGTGGGTTGAACACGCGGTGGGTTGAACACGCGGTGGGTTGAACACGCGGTGGGTTGAACACGCGGTGGGTTGAACACGCGGTCGGTTGAACACGCGGTGGGTTGAACACGCGGACGGTTGAACACGCAGAGGGTTGAACACACGGAGGGTTGAACACGCGGTGGGTTGAACACACGGTGGGTTGAACACCGGTGGGTGGAACACACGGTGGGTTGAACACGCGGTGGGTGGAACACGCGGTGGCGGTGGGTTGAACACGCGGTGGGTGGAACACGCGGTAGGTTGAACACGCGGACGGTTGAACACGCGGACGGTTGAACACACGGAGGGTTGAACACGCGGTGGGTTGAACACGCGGTGGGTTTTACACGCGGTGGGTTGAACTCGCGGTGGGTTGAACTCGCGGTGGGTTGAACACGCGGTGGTTTGAACACGCGGTGGGTTGAACACGCGGTGGGTTGAACACGCGGTGGGTTGAACACGCGGTGGGTTGAACACGCGGAGGGTTGAACACGCGGAGTGGGTTGAACACGCGGTGGGTTGAACACGCGGTGGGTTGAACACGCGGTGGGTTGAACACGCGGTGGGTTGAACACGCGGTGGGTTGAACACGCGGTGGGTTGAACACGCGGTGGGTTGAACACGCGGTGGGTTGAACACGCGGTGGGTTGAACACGCGGTGGGTTGAACACGCGGTGGGTTGAACACGCGGTGGGTTGAACACGCGGTGGGTTGAACACGCGGTGGGTTGAACACGCGGTGGGTTGAACACGCGGTGGGTTGAACACGCGGTGGGCTGAACACGCGGTGGGTTGAACACGCGGTGGGTTGAACACGCTGTGGGTTGAACACGCGGTGGTTGAACACGCGGTGGGTTGAACACGCGGTGGGTTGAACACGCGGTGGGTTGAACACGCGGTGGGTTGAACACGCGGTGGGTTGAACACGCTGTGGGTTGAACACGCGGTGGGTTGAACACGCGGTGGGTTGAACACGCGGTGGGTTGAACACGCGGTGGGTTGAACACGCGGTGGGTTGAACACGCGGTGGGTTGAACACGCGGTGGGTTGAACACGCGGTGGGTTGAACACGCGGTGGGTTGAACACGCGGTCGGTTGAACACGCGGTGGGTTGAACACGCGGACGGTTGAACACGCGGAGGGTTGAACACACGGAGGGTTGAACACGCGGTGGGTGGAACACACGGTGGGTTGAACACACGGTGGGTGGAACACACGGTGGGTTGAACACGCGGTGGGTGGAACACGCGGTGGCGGTGGGTTGAACACGCGGTGGGTGGAACACGCGGTGGGTTGAACACGCGGTGGGTTGAACACGCGGTGGGTTGAACACGCGGTGGGTTGAACACGCGGTGGGTTGAACACGCGGTGGGTTGAACACGCGGTGGGTTGAACACACGGTGGGTTGAACACGCGGACGGTTCAACACGCGGTGGGTTTAACACGCGGTGGGTTGAACACGCGGTGGGTTGAACATGCGGTGGGTTGAACACGCGGTGGGTTGAACACGCGGTGGATTGAACACGCGGTGGGTTGAACACGCGGTGGGTTGAACACGCGGTGGGTTGAACACGCGGTGGGTTGAACACGCGGTGGGTTGAACACGCGGTGGGTTGAACACGCGGTGGGTTGAACACGCGGTGGGTTGAACACGCGGTGGGTTGAACACGCGGTGGGTTGAACACGCGGTGGGTTGAACACGCGGTGGGTTGAACACGCGGTGGGTTGAACACGCGGAGGGTTGAACACGCGGAGGGTTGAACACACGGAGGGTTGAATACACGGTGGGTGGAACACATGATGTGTGGATCACACGGTGGGTTGAACACAGGATGTGTGGATCACACGGTGGGTTGAACACACGGTGGGTGGAACACACAGTGGGTTGAACACGCGGTGGGTTGAACACGCGGTGGGTTGAACACGCGGTGGGTTGAACACGCGGTGGGTTGAACACGCGGTGGGTTGAACACGCGGTGGGTTGAACACGCGGTGGGTTGAACACGCGGTGGGTTGAACACGCGGTGGGTTGAACACGCGGTGGGTTGAACACGCGGAGGGTTGAACACGCGGAGGGTTGAACACACGGAGGGTTGAATACACGGTGGGTGGAACACATGATGTGTGGATCACACGGTGGGTTGAACACAGGATGTGTGGATCACACGGTGGGTTGAACACACGGTGGGTGGAACACACAGTGGGTTGAACACGCGGTGGGTTGAACACGCGGTGGGTTGAACACGTGGTGGGTTGAACACGCGGTGGGTTGAACACGCGGTGGGTTGAACACGCGGTGGGTTGAACACGCGGTGGGTTGAACACGCGGTGGGTTGAACACGCGGTGGGTTGAACACGCGGTGGGTTGAACACGCGGTGGGTTGAACACGCGGTGGGTTGAACACGCGGAGGGTTGAACACGCGGAGGGTTGAACACACGGAGGGTTGAATACACGGTGGGCGGAACACATGATGTGTGGATCACACGGTGGGTGGAACACATGATGTGTGGATCACACGGTGGGTTGAACACACGGTGGGTGGAACACACAGTGGGTTGAACACGCGGTGGGTTGAACACGCGGTGGGTTGAACACGCGGTGGGTTGAACACGCGGTGGGTTGAACACGCGGTCGGTTGAACACGCGGTGGGTTGAACACGCGGACGGTTGAACACGCAGAGGGTTGAACACACGGAGGGTTGAACACGCGGTGGGTGGAACACACGGTGGGTTGAACACCAGTGGGTGGAACACACGGTGGGTTGAACACGCGGTGGGTGGAACACGCGGTGGCGGTGGGTTGAACACGCGGTGGGTGGAACACGCGGTAGGTTGAACACGAGGACGGTTGAACACGCGGACGGTTCAACACACGGAGGGTTGAACACACGGTGGGTTGAACACTCGGTGGGTGGAACACTCGGTGGGTTGAACACACGGTGGGTTGAACACGCGGTGGGTTGAACACTCGGTGGGTGGAACACGCGGTGGGTTGAACACGCGGTGGGTTGATCACGCGGTGGGTTGAACACGCTTTGGGTTGAACACGCGGTGGGTTGAACACGCGGTGGGTTGAACACGCGGTGGGTTGAACACGCGGTGGGTTGAACAGGCGGTGGGTTGAACACGCGGTGGGTTGATCACGCGGTGGGTTGAACACGCGGTGGGTTGAACACGCGGTGGGTTGAACACGCGGTGGGTTGAACACGCGGACGGTTGAACACGCGGACGGTTGAACACACGGAGGGTTGAACACACGGTGGGTTGAACACACGGTGGGTTGAACACACGGTGGGTGGAACACACGACGTGTGGATCACACGGTAGGTTGAACACACGGTGGGTGGAACACACGGTGGGTTGAACACACGTTGGGTTGAACACACAGTGGGTTGAACACAAGGTGGGTTGAACAACACACGGTGGTTTGAACACACAGTGGGTGAAACACACGGTGGGTTGAACACGCTGTGGGTTGAACACGCGGTGGGTTGAACACGCGGTGGGTTGAACACGCGGTGGGTTGAAAACGCGGTGGGTTGAACACATGGTGGGTTGAACACACGGTGGGTTGAACACACGGTGGGAGGATCACACACTGGGTTGAACACACGGTGGGTTGAACACACGGTGGGTTGAACACACGGTGGGTTGAACAATACACGGTGGTTTGAACACAACACGCGGTGGGTTGAACACGCGGTGGGTGTAACACGCCGTGGGTTGAACACGCGGTGGGTTGTACACGCGGTGGGTTGTACACGCGGTGGGTTGAACACGCGGTGGGTTGAACACGCGGTGGGTTGAACACGCGGTGGGTTGAACTCGCGGTGGGTTGAACTCGCGGTGGGTTGAACACGCGGTGGGTTCAACACGCGGTGGGTTGAACACGCGGTGGGTTGAACACGCGGTGGGTTGAACACGCGGTGGGTTGAACACGCGGTGGGTTGAACACGCGGTGGGTTGAACACGCGGTGGGTTGAACACGCGGTGGGTTGAACACACGGTGGGTTGAACACGCGGTGGGTTGAACACGCGGTGGGTTGAACACGCGGTGGGTTGAACACGCGGACGGTTGAACACGCTCGCGGTGGGTTTAACACGCGGTGGGTTGAACACGCGGTGGGTTGAACACGCGGTGGGTTGAACACGCGGTGGGTTGAACATGCGGTGGGTTGAACACGCGGTGGGTTGAACACACGGTGGGTTGAACACGCGGTGGGTTGAACACGCGGTGGGTTGAACACGCGGTGGGTTGAACACGCGGTGGGTTTGAACACGCGGTGGGTTGAACACGCGGTGGGTTGAACACGCGGACGGTTGAACACGCTCGCGGTGGGTTTAACACGCGGTGGGTTGAACACGCGGTGGGTTGAACACGCGGTGACCGGGGTTGAACACGCGGTGGTTGAACACGCGGTGGTTGAACACGCGGTGGGTTGAACACGCGGTGGGTTGAACACGCGGTGGGTTGAACACGCGGTGGGTTGAACACGCGGTGGGTTGAACACGCGGTGGGTTGAACCACGCGGTGGGTTGAACACGCGGTGGGTTGAACACGCGGTGGGTTGAACACGCGGTGGGTTGAACACGCGGTGGGTTGAACACGCGGTGGGTTGAACACGCGGTGGGTTGAACACGCGGTGGGTTGAACACGCGGTGGGTTGAACACGCGGTGGGTTGAACACGCGGACGGTTGAACACGCTCGCGGTGGGTTTAACACACGGTGGGTTGAACACGCGGTGGGTTGAACACGCGGTGGGTTGAACACGCGGTGGGTTGAACACGCGGTGGGTTGAACACGCGGTGGGTTGAACACGTGGTGGGTTGAACACGCGGTGGGTTGAACACGCGGCGGGTTGAACACGCGGTGGGTTGAACACGCGGTGGGTTGAACACGCGGTGGGTTGAACACGCGGTGGGTTGAACACGCGGTGGGTTGAACACGCGGTGGGTTGAACACGCGGTGGGTTGAACACGCGGTGGGTTGAACACGCGGTGGGTTGAACACGCGGACGGTTGAACACGTGGAGGGTTGAACACGTGGAGGGTTGAACACACGGTGGGTTGAACACAGGGTGGGTTGAACACGCGGTGGGTTGAACACGCGGTGGGTTGAACACGCGGTGGGTTGAACACGCGGTGGGTTGAACACGCGGTGGGTTGAACACGCGGTGGGTTGAACACGCCGTGGGTTGAACACGCCGTGGGTTGAACACGCGGTGGGTTGAACACGCGGTGGGTTGAACACGCGGTGGGTTGAACACGCGGTGGGTTGAACACGCGGACGGTTGAACACGTGCAGGGTTGAACACACGGTGGGTTGAACACACGGTGGGTTGAACACGCGGTGGGTTGAAAACGCGGTGGGTTGAACACATGGTGGGTTGAACACACGGTGGGTTGAACACACGGTGGGAGGATCACACGGTGGGTTGTACACACGGTGGGTTGAACACACGGTGGGTTGAACACACGGTGGGTTGAACAATACACGGTGGTTTGAACACAACACGCGGTGGGTTGAACACGCGGTGGGTGTAACACGCGGTGGGTTGAACACGCGGTGGGTTGTACACGCGGTGGGTTGTACACGCGGTGGGTTGAACACGCGGTGGGTGGAACACGCGGTGGGTTGAACACGCGGTGGGTTGAACACGCGGTGGGTTGAACTCGCGGTGGGTTTAACACGCGGTGGGTTCAACACGCGGTGGGTTGAACACGCGGTGGGTTGAACACGCGGTGGGTTGAACACGCGGTGGGTTGAACACGCGGTGGGTTGAACACGCGGTGGGTTGAACACGCGGTGGGTTGAACACGCGGTGGGTTGAACACGCGGTGGGTGGAACACGCGGTGGGCGGTGGGTTGAACACACGGTGGGTTGAACTCGCGGTGGGTTCAACACGCGGTGGGTTGAACACGCCGTGGGTTGAACACGCGGTGGGTTGAACACGCGGTGGGTTGAACACGCGGTGGGTTGAACACGCGGTGGGTTGAACACGCGCGTTGGGTTGAACACGCGGTGGGTTGAACACGCGGTGGGTTGAACACGCGGTGGGTTGAACACGCGGTGGGTGGAACACGCGGTGGGTTGAACACGCGGTGGGTTGAGCACGCGGTGGGTTGAACACGCGGTGGGTTGAACACGCGGTGGGTTGAACACGCGGTGGGTTGAACACGCGGTGGGTTGAACACGCGGTGGGTTGAACACGCGGTGGGTTGAACACGCGGTGGGTTGAACACGCGGATGGTTGAACACATGGAGGGTTGAACACACGGAGGGTTGAACACACGGTGGGTTGAACACACGGTGGGTTGAACACACGGTGGGTGGAACACATGATGTGTGGATCACACGGTGGGTTGAACACACGTTGGGTTGAACACACAGTGGGTTGAACACACGTTGGGTTGAACTACACACGGTGGTTTGAATACACGGTGGGTTGAACTACACGCGGTGGGTTGAACACGCGGTGGGTTGAACAAGCGGTGGGTTGAACACGCGGTGGGTTGAACACGCGGTGGGTTGAACACGCGGTGGGTTGAACACGCGGTGGGTTGAACACGCGGTGGGTTGAACACGCGGACGGTTGAACACGCGGAGGGTTGAACACGCGGAGGGTTGAACACGCGGTGGGTTGAACACGCGGACGGTTGAACACGCGGAGGGTTAAACACGCGGAGGGTTGAACACACGGTGGGTTGAACACTTGGTGGGTGGAACACACGGTGGGTTGAACACGCGGTGGGTGGAACACGCGGTGGGTTGAACACGCGGTGGGTTGAACACGC